TTTTTAAGTGGGTGAGCTTAAGAAAATGCCCACTACCCTCTCTCTGTTGCCCATCCTGGCTTCTCATCTACAGGTCTGGGTTTAGGGGTAGGCCAATCTTTTTTTTTTTTTTTTTTTTGGTACCAGGGATTGAACTCAGAGGTACTTGGCCACTGAGCCACATCCCAGCCCTATTTTGTATTTTATTTAGAGACAGGGTCTCACTGAGTTGCTTAGCACCTCTCTTTTGCTGATGCTGGTTTTGAACTGGAGATCTTCCTGCTTCAGCCTCTGGAGCTGCTGGATTACAGGCATGCACCACTGCGCCCAACTAGGGCACTCTTGAGTTTGTTTTCTTCTCTGGTAACTTGTCTTCCAGTCACTCTAGTTCTCAGACTATGTAATATCAAGTCTTAGAGCATTTGTTTTGTCACCTGCCTCTCAATTCTGCTTTTCTTCACTGCTTTCTTTATATTTTATGAGAAGATGTAGACATGCTGTCTACCTTGCTTTCACTATTTTTTCTTTCCTCAGCTTTGTGTTTATAAACAAAGCCAGTTGCAGTACCTATATTTTAAGTTATTCATGCCCTGTCCTTTGAAGACTTTTGAAACATTTGTATAAGTAAGGTCAGTAAAAGGGTATATTCTTGTTTTAGTGGAATTTGTAAGAATACTTACAAGTATTTTTTTATATGTATGCAAAATGCCAAACAAATTCAAAATGGATTATGCTGAAATTATTATTTTCATAATTGAGTCAGCTACTTTCATGGTTGGCTTTGAAAGGGGGTTTTACAGTTTATTTGTAAGATTATTGCTGTTATTTTTAACTAATTTGGCAGTCCTTGGATATACACTTTAATTTTTTTATTTTTATTTTTTTTTTTAAATATTTATTTTTTAGTTCTCGGCGGACACAACATCTTTGTTGGTATGTGGTGCTGAGGATCGAACCCAGGCCGCACGCATGCCAGGCAAGCGCGCTACCGCTTGAGCCACATCCCCAGCCCCACTTTAAATTTTTTAGAACAAATGTGTGCAAAGATAAAAACAATTATAAAAAAATGAAGTTGTTTTTCGGTCACAAAATGGCTTCCCTCAAATGCAACTAAAACTCTGAAGAATGTTCTTGTGCATTTGCCAGCAGGCTTCTGGGGTAGGCATATTTTTAAGACTTTGAACATAAACAACTGTGATCTGTGGCAAAAGATTTAAATGACCTACTGATGACAATGAGAACAAAGCATTTTTAAGTTATCATGGTGTGTTAATTCATTGCAATGTGTTTGTTGTTCTCCTATATTTTGGTATGTTAAGTGAGAGCCAGGCAAAAAAATTAAGATTGTATTTAACTTAAGATACTATTTATTTATTGTTATTAAAAGAAAACTTAAGTACCAGAAAATATTATTTCTTAAGAATAAATATTTCATGAATTCTAGACCTAGCAGTTAAAAAGAGAAAAAGAATGACATAAACCACTTAAAGATAAAGACCATTTATTTTGACCCTCTAGTTTTGAGATTCATTTTTTTGTTGGAGTAAATATTTTCCAAACAAACCACTTCAAGTTAAAGACCATTTGTATTGACCCTAAAGTTTTTTGAGATTCATTTTTAACCAGGGTGAATATTTGTTGAACATGAAAGATCAAACACTTGGCTTGAAATAAGAATCCTTCCTTCCTGACAGATCTTAATTGACCTGTTTGTTAGTTAAGTATTTATTATGCTTAAATATTGTGTAGAATTGTCTCTAATCATTGTCTAGAATAGTGGTTCTCAACCATGGGTGATTTTTGTCCCTCTGTGTGTCTGGAGACATTTTTAATTGTCATTGATAGGGCTACTCGAATCACCAGATATACTGCTTAATATCTTAGAGTGGACAGGATAGCCCTTCACATCAAAATTATCTGGTCTAAAATGTCAATAGGGCTAAAATTGACAAACTCTGATGCAGAACTTACAAATGTCATTGCTAGTTAGTATAGAAATTGAAGGACTTTTTCATTTTTCTCTAGACCCTTTTTTAGCCCCTGTAAATATTTTTTGCAGAGGCCCTTGGATCATTAAACCAAGATGATCACTGAATAACCACAAACAAGTTGAACTTAGTATGCAAGTTTTTTCAGCATAGTCTTCTAGGGACATGATCTGTTGCTTTCATCAAATTCTGAAGGTATCCATAGCTCCATTGATGTAATTACCTAAAATAGATAATACAGAACTACCATTGTGCTAAACTAGTTTAAGTTTTGTTTATCAAAATTAATTAAGAAATGCTTCCTCTTTTTTAAAAAAAAAATATTTTTTAGTTGTAAATGGACACAATGTCTGTTTATGTATTTATTTTTATGTGGTGCCGAGGATTGAACTCAGTGCTTCACACCTGTGAGACAAGCACTTTACCATTGAGTTTAGTCCCAGCCCAAGAAATGTTTTCTTGTTGAAAAAAAGTCTGGTCAAAATATGGTCTACTGTCATGTATATCTAAAAAGAACAATTTTTTTTAAAGAGAAAAATCTCTTTCTTAATATTTTGAAGTAATAAAATCCAAATGTATGAGGAAATAATAAAATATAATAGATTATTATTTAAACATCATATATTAACACAGTACTATGCATTTAAATTTGAGATCAGGTTTATTATATGCTGGTTCACATGTGATTTATGTAAATTATTTTATCTTGTTATTTGAAATCATTTTATCAAAAATCATCTTGTTTTATCAAAAAAATTTGCTGCTTTCTCCAAAATGAGGCTCTCAATTTACATTTCCTATGTGCTGTTTATTGCATCATCCATAGATGTGAACATTGGTTTTGTATCTTTCACATTTCTCCTGAAAACTATTTAGTAACATGAGCTTTTTTTCTCATAAGAGATATTTTTGAATGGAAGTTATGTTTCTGATTTGGCATCCAATAAATCAGAGATTCTACCAACAGTGTGTCATACAAACAAATCTTCATAACCTTGAGTATGCATATAACTTAATACTTTTCTAAGTCATAGAAATTTAGAGATTAAGTCTTGGCTTAAAAGCCAAGGAAGGGACCTTAGAGAGCATCCATTCCAGCTGTTTCAGACTTCTTTTTATTTTATTTGTTTTTAGGTTTATGTGGTGCCAGGAATCGAGCCCAGTGCCTCATGCATGCTAGGCAAGTGCTCTACCACTGAGCCACAACCCTGGCCCCCTTACGAGATATTTTGAGGGAGAAAAAAAGTGCATTGGGAGGGAGGGATTGCATACTTCTGATATATACCATCCTCATTTTACATACAGGGAACCTGAGGCCCAAACTAGAGTGGGGTGAGAAGGGTTGGGGCAGCCTCAGGACTGACCAATCCTGGAAGACCTCAATATTGCCAGAATAAAATAAATATAACTCCTCTGCTGTCCCCTTTGATAATAGATTTTTGTGGGGGGGAGGGGTAGAATTTTTGGACGATATGGGTGGCGTAGGGTGGGACTTCAAATATTTAAATGACAGGATCCATTTTTTAAAATAAATAAAATAATTTGAAATGTTCCTTTCAAGAGAGATATGGTCAATCCACATCATCTTCTAGATACATTCTAAATCCTGTGAAATCCAAAGAATATTATATAATTCTCTTTTTTTGCTGATATGTATAAAGAGCCTAAAAACATTTAATAACTTACCTACCAATACACAGCTAGGAAACTGCATAGCTGGAAATTCATCTCCTGATTATCCTCCATATGATTGGTCTACAAAATAAAGAAATGTATGAAACATCTAGAAACATGAACCAAGAACAGCAGAATATAGGAACGAGATTGTTATAAAATACAAGAACAAATTATAGCATTGAAAGAACTAAATCATACAAAATAGAATATGGAATTGATGGTCCTTTTTATCTTAACCATGTGGCTTTCCAGAGTACTTGAAGGGAAATTGTCAAAATTCTTTGCTTCCAGGGTATAGTGGGGATTGGTTTTCTAATCAATTTTAGTTAGTCACATGTAGTTTCCAGGAATACAGGCTCACATTTGAGTAACAGAAGCAAGAAAAGATAATTTTGTTCAATTAATTAATAGTCATTTCCTGAGATTTTGCTTCAAATTTTTTATTTATTGCCAAACTATTATAACAGATTCAGTACATATATATAATATATATATATATATATATATATATATATATATATATTTCTTCACTTATAGATCTAAACTATAGCTAGATCAAAATACTAAATACCATGGCACATAGCCATGTATTGGTTTCTTCAGAAATAATTTTCAATATCAAAACTGAAGTCACTGATGGAAAAATATTTTTAACTTTAAGAAATTTGATAGACTCTTCTATATACAGAGAACTTGCCGAGTTGGAAAGGATCTGTTGCAGTCATCAAGTTCTGTACAGAGCACCAAGTATAGAACACACTGGATACACAATAAATGTATTTTGAATTTGTGGATGAAATGAGTCCAGACTTAGTCCAATAAAGGGAAAAAGGAAAAGTACAAGATAACCTGAAAGTTTGCACTACATGGAATCAAACAGAATGACTGCTTAAAGTCTGGAGTGACAACTTCATTGACCACTTAAAGATCTACTTGAAAAAATCTTCCCATACACTGAGAGCTTAATCACTTGGAGAGTTATTACATTTAGAAGAAATTTTAATGCCTAACTAATTTTAAAGGAAGTTTTAGAAAAGAAAAGAGGTACCATATTAATGGGGGTAGGGCTGCTCAAAACAACTTAGCGAAATAAAGGTTGAACCTAAAAAAGGGGGGGTTTCCTTAGTGGTTTGACTTTTTGTTGAGTTTGTTGATTTCTTTTGATTCCATCATTAGATTTATTAAGGTTATTAGGAAAGTTTGTTGGCTCCCTGTCATTTTGTGATCTTCAGGTTCTATATATGTTCATTGTTGCATATTATCTTGTTACTCTGTTAAATATGCATAACTTATATTTGCTTTGTTTTTATATTCTTTTAAATAATTTTAAACTAACTTATTTGGAATTTTCCTTAGGCCTTAAAGAAAGTGCAGAAGAAATGGTCAAAAACAAATTGGAAGGAAAGGATAAACTGACCCCTTGGGAACAATTTTTAGAGAAGAAGAAAGAGAAGAAAAGACTGAAAAAGAAACAGAAGGTATCAGTGATAATCATGATCAAATATTTATTGAATACCAACTCTGTACCAGAAGGCACCAGTTCTTGGTATCCATTATCTCAAACTAGCTTCCCACTGGAGTAGACCATGTTGTCACTCCAATTTTAAGAAAGAAGAGGCACAATTGCACCAGGTTAAGATTGCACCAGGCCTCATAATGTTGTACAGTACAGAGCCACTGCAAATACTGCACTCTAACTAAACAATGTATTTGATTTAGGTAGCATATGAATGTGAACATCAAATACATTGTTTAGTTAATATCTAGATATAAAACAGAAAGATTCCATTCTGTGGGTCTGTTTTGTTTGTTTGGTTTGGTCTGAATCAGACCAACTAGCAATTGAACTCAGGGTGCTTTACCATTAAGCTATATCTCCAGCACATTGTTTAAAATTGAGTTTGTATTGTTTGAAAAAAAATTTTTTTCTCTTCCACCTTTTTGTATTGGTGCATTGTAGTTATATATCACGATTGTATTTGTTGTCACATATTTATTGTTACATATTCACACAAGTACACAACATAACAATATATCTCTCCTTTCCCTTTTCTCACCCCATTCCCTTTTCTCCTCCTACCTCCTGGTCAGTGTTTGTAGAAATGGATAGTAAAATGAAGCTATGGGGTAAAAGCCCTGCCCGCATTGATATGGTACCTCTCCTCTTTTCTAAAACTTCCTTTAAAATTAGTTAGGCATTAAAATTTCTTTTAAATGGATTAACTCTCCAAGTGATTAAGCTCTTAGTTTATGGGAAGATTTTCAAGTAGATCTTTCAGTGGTCAATGAAGTAGTCACTCAAGACTTTAAGCAGTCATTCTGTTTGATTCCATGTAGTGCAAACTTTCAGGTTATCTTGTACTTTTCCTTTTTCCCTTTATTGGACTAAGTCTGGAATCATTTCAAAGTTAAAAATATTTTTCCATCAGTGACTTCAGTTTTGATATTGAAAAATTATTTCTGAAGAAACCAATACATGGCTATGTGCCATGGTATTCAGCATTTTGATCTAGCTATAGTTTAGATCTATAAGTAAAGAAATATATGAGTATATATATTGCTAGATATGTGTTACAATCCTCCTACTTAAGCTTCTGGAGTAGCTGAAATTCAAGCATGTGCCACCACACCCAGCTAAAAGCTTAATTTTAGATTAAACTACTTGATACAAAAGAAATATATATAATTTTTCTCTGTATACATAGTTCTTATAAAAAGGTAATTGTGTATTTTTACATTCAATTTTAAGACTCTTGCTGAAGAAACCAGTGATGATGAACTTCCCCCTGATGTTGATTTGAATGACCCGTACTTTGCTGAAGAAGTTAAAAGATTAGGTAAGCCCAGTCTAAATTTGTAGTATTCATTTGGAATCTAAAGGAAAGGATGACATGGGTGGAAACAATGTAAACTGATGATTCTTTTTAAATTGCTAGAATTTGGATGGCTCTCTCTGGCTTATAAGCAATACCATCCTATGAGGTCCAACCATTGATCATATTGGGAAGGGTCAACATAAAGAATGATTACATCATAGGAGATTTTTGATAATGTGGTTAACTTAAATATTTTAATGGGGATTTCTTTCTAGGAATTATCCTGATAGCCAGTCAAATGCACTCTATAAAAGAATGAAAGGGAAATAGAGGAATAGTCATCTTCTTGTGCTTTGGCTACATTTTTATAATACATCCATTCTAGGTCTCTCACTGCAAAGACTATGAAAAATTAAAAGTATGAAATGAATCTGTGTTGATCTATATATACTTTTTAAAATTTATATATGCAATTATGGTATAACAACTTTTTCTGTTCAGTAAACATCTGTTTCATTTTATATCTTTTATATTTATCATGCTTGATTATAGGTAACAGCTTTTTTCTTACTTCCCTTTTTGTTTCAACCCCTAAACTACCTGGTATCTCATTTCCAATATCCAAAGAGCCTTGTTTCCATTGCAAATGCACCACTCATTCTTTTCATTCTTACCTGTTAGTATATGTCAATGTGTTTGGTAAAGTTTAGGCCATACTTGAACAAGTCAGTATAGAGACACTGAAAATAAATATTTTCCATTTACTATCATGCATTTTGCCTTCCCCTAATTTTTATACCACACACATGAACCCCAAAAGGCACACTTTTGCAACAATTCCAAGCTGGCATTGTAAAGAGACGGATTTTATGAAGTTTCCCCTGTTTCTTGTCCTTTTGACCAGTGGGCCAGAATAATTCTCAACAAGAAAGTCAAAATTGCCTAAAATTATTTCCTGGTTGTTATAGCCTTTTAGCACTGACATTTTATTGAAGAAAAAGAGATTGAGATGAATAAAGTCTGTTATAGGATGTGAGATGCTTGGGAATTGGAAAGGAAAGTGGAAACTTAGCATATTATGCTTTTTAACATACCTTTGCCGTCATTTCTAGATGATGAGGGATTTTATCCTTATCCTGTGGCTAAAACAAAGTTTATAATGGAGAAATGTAAAGCATTTAGTTTCCTTTTTCTCTGTCCAAAGTGCTTCATTTGACATGTGAAATCTGGTCAAATTGCAGAAGTCTTAATAGGATTCAAAGAGTAAGTTAAATAGTTTGATTTCTTGGGGTAGCCAGTTTTCTGGAATCAGCACACACACACACACACACACACACACACACACACACACACACATATATAGTGTTTTTCTGTGTTTATTCATTGTATCAGGAAATATTTTGGTTGCCTACCAGATGCTGGGCATTCTGCTAGGTTAGAGAGAAATACCAATAAAAATAATTGCAAGATTGTAATCTCTCAAGGAGTCTATTTTTAGCACATGTTTGGTTTTTACATAGAAGAGTTCTCATACTATGAAAATTCAGTAAATGTTTTAAAAGAAATAGAGTAATATAGAGAATATACATAAGAGGAAAAGGGGAAAGAGGAGTTTACAGAGGATAGGCAAAATGGCCTCTCTAAGGTGATGATATTTGAGCTGAGTATTGTAGAATGAGGAGTAAGGCATAACTGGGGAAAGAGCATTGCAAAGGAGGGGAAAGTGGAAGTGAGAAAGAAAACAGGTTAAAAAAAGGCATTGGTAAAAACTTGGAGACCTCTTTTGCAGAGAGATCTAAACAAAAGATGATGATGGTTTAGACTGGATGCCACTAATAGAACTGGAAGGAAAAGAGAGTTCAGGCTTTAGATTTATTTTGAAAATAGACTTGCTAATGTATTTGAATAAGGAAGAAACTTAGCCTAACTCTGGGGTTTTAGATTTGAGTTTCTGGGAGAAGACCAGAGACTTACTGAGTTAGGAATGTAGGAAAAGTAGGTTTGGGTGGGAAGTAAAGTAAATAGATCTATTTTGGGCAAAATCACTTTGAGATGTCAAGTAGATATCCAAAGGTGTAAGGTTAACATTTAGCCATGAGTATGAGAAATCAGAGCTATCAGAGTACAAATATATACTTGTGAATCAGTAGCATGCAAATGGTACTTGAAACATTGGTACTGGAAATAGAAAGCGTTGATAAGAGGATTCACCTACGGTCAGGTGAAACCTTCAAAAACTACTATTTCTCAGTCATTCTGGAGGAAGTATTACCTGGAAAGTAGGGAAAAGCTTAAGAACTTGAGAAGGAACATCTGTGAATTAGGAAAAAATTATCACAGGCCTCTTGTAGCCAAAAGTGGAGAAAAAGTGCATAAAAGGAGAGATATGATAATGTCATGTGCCAGTATTCATACAGAGAAGTGTCCTATAGAAACCAGTGAGATATAGAGAACATTGGGTCATCTTAAAGGTAGTTTCAGTAGGTTAATAGTAAAGTACAAGTGAGTGTTGAGGAAGTAGAGATTGAGAGTGAAGAACGTTTTCCAGGAGTTATATTATAAAGTAGTAGCTGAATATGGGTAAATAAAAATTGAGTTTTGGTTTGGTTGGGTTTGGTGTTTATTGTTTGTTTTTTAGATACAAACTTTGAAGACTTGCTTTAATCCTTTTCGGGTTGCTCTAGTAGAGAATATACAGAAACTAGGGGAGATAAATGTACAGGTGAAGTCCTTGAGAAGGCAAGGATAGAATCGGGAGCATATTTGGAAGGATTTGACTTTGAAGGAGTCAGGATGCCTTCTTTCTGTCAGGAGAGAAGACAAGTAAATACTAATGCAGATACATATATATGGGGTTGTGGGAGGCCAACCTTATGGGTGACTGAGTTACACTCCCCAGCTGGGTGCTGAGGCGTTCAGTCACAGAAATGGGTGTGTCTTGCTACAGCTCCACGGGTGAAGCTATGCTCACCTGTTCCTTTGTAATCTAACCCCTTGCCCTGTTTAGGATAGAATCTTCCATGGAAGTGCCTTGTGTGTGTCCCCTTCTCTTACTGTACCCTTGGGTGTGGCCTACCCAGGTGTCAGTCAACCTACTGATAGTGGACATCATGGAGATAGACTCAGCCCCCTGAAACCTGACCCCTTGCCTCATTTGAATAGCTTCTCCTCAATAAAAGGGGTCAGCGCGTGCTCTTGCTCTCTCTCTCTTTCTGCAGACCCTTAAGGTCAGAGGAGCCGTCACAGCAACCCCAAAGAAAAAGGTATTTGTGTCTCCTGTGTGGTTATTTCGTGCAGCCCAGTTAGCCCAGTTTAACTAGAGTGACCCCTGAGCCTTTTAGTTGCGAGAACAGAAACCCGGCAATACTAGGGGAGATAATGCACAGGTGAAGTCCTTGAGAAGGCAAGGATAGAATCAGGAGCATATTTGGAGGGATTTGACTTTGAAGGAGTCAGGATGCCTTCTTTCTGTCAGGAGAGAAGACAAGTAAATACTAATGCAGATACATATATATGGGGTTAGGAAGATGAGGGATTTTCATGGTTGGTTAGGATTTATCCTATTTGTTCATTCATTTACAAAGGTACAGATAATCTGAGTGGGCGTGTAAGGTAGGGGCCCAAGAAACAGATCATTCTGGGAAGAGTTATTGCCTAAGACTGTTGATTAAATGAACTATCATTAAATGAATAACACTTAAAGGAAATGTTTTGGTCAGGGGCTAAGAATGAAGAAAGATGGGTCATATAAATCTGAAGGTCAGTCCAAATGCAAAACCATAGAATGTGCAACAAGGGCAGCAATAGGGAAAGCCGGCCGAAGAAGAGAACCAGCTAAGCCACACAGATTGGTTTACCAAAAGAATGTGTCCCTTTTGTTTTATTGATTCTGGGAATTGAACTCAGGGTGTCACTCATACTAGGTGCATACTTTACCACTGAGCTACACCCTAGCCCTTTCTTCTTTCTTTCTTCTTTTTTTTCTTTTTAATTAACTCTTAGTTTTTTGACAGCTAAGTTATTCAGGCTGGCCTCAAACTTGATGTCCTTCTTCCCCAGTCTCCTGAGTAGCCAGGATTACCAGTGTGTGCCACAGCATCCAGCAGAAGATGTCCCTTTTGAATAATGCCAAATTATTAAAAAGCTATATACACTCATTCATTTGTGTATCCATCCAGTAAACCAATAATTATTGAGTATTGAAATCATCCAGTCTTTTCCCATTACTTTCAGCATTTGTTAGAAGTTATTTACAGACAAAGTCATGCATCACATAATGATGTTTTAGTCAACAACAGACCACATATAGGGTGGTGGTCTCATAAGATTATATAACGTAATTACATAGTAATCATCTTGGTTTGGATAAGTACATTCTGTGATATTCACATAACAATGTCACTAACAATGTAACCATGAGCCTTGTCATTAAGCAGTTTATGTCTGTATAGGAAAATAATGTCATCTTTTCTCATACTATATATTTTAATTTGACTACTGAAGGTAAAAGTGGACTTTAAAGAAATTGTATTAGATATATATCATGTATATGCACAAAGAGATGGATTTAATGAGAAATTTTTACTCAGTTCTAATCTTTTTCTGCCCAGGATAAACTAAATTTGTACTTCACAGTATCTGGAAGATATAAGAAGAATAAATGTTGTTAACATTTTGTACTCATGATCCAAGAAAGTAATAGAGGATAGATGGAAACTTCCCTTTAGCTTTAGGGAAGTGGATTCCTATAAGGAAGTAAAAAAGAACTTGTATTTTTCATTTGGTGTCCTCTAATGTCCTTCTTAAGAGGACCTTTATAGTAGGTTATACAAGAGTTGGATTTTGGTTCAAAATTTACCAGATTGTGATTTTTTTAAAAAATATATAGATACAAAATAACTCAGGTGACTTAAATAAGTATATTAATTTATCACAGTATTGCCTTCATTATTAATTGTTAAGACATGAGATTTTGGAGGATATAGAGCTACTTTCCAATAATATTTGAGATGAAATGAATT